AACGTTTGTACTGCGTGCCCCATTCCTCTGTGTGTATCCATTGATGAAAAACTATACTTGAGTACTCTAATGAAAGAATATTTGCCTCGCCACCTGTTTAACTAACTGAAATACAGTATTACATTTGATTGATTACAGGGTGAGCAAAAAGGAATGGACCACTTTTCAAATTCCTCAGAGGATAACATATTGCACCGAACTAAAATCCATTCATGAATTGTATATGTGTGGTATATTCCTAATTTTACAGAACGTGTGGGTAGCCGTGGAAGTATAGCACGTCCTTTCTTCATTTCTTTCGGTCACAAATGTTATTGGCTGTGGAATCTTCAGAGCGCACTACCGTCGTAGCAAATGTTACCGAGGCATTAGGCACATAGGCATCTTCACACGCTCGGTCTTCACTGCGTTCATCGACGGGAGCCGAGTAAACGAAGATGGCACATATGGTAATAAAGCAATTCCTATTCTAGATTGTTGTCTCTGATATATTGCTTTAAACTGATGTTACAGACGTAAATCACTATTTACCATTGATAAAAACTCAATGTTCTAATTTAGGTAGTTAGAATCTCGCGGTATATCTAAAGAAAAGTAATTCAATATCCCGCTTGTAGAAAAACGGGAAGAATACTCATTGCTGCGTAGATTGTAAATTACTATCTGCCGATTTTAAACCAGTCCCACCATTACTGAAACGGAAGATTATCCAGTAGGCTTTATAAGATAAAAAATTTGATACGGTCGATTATGTCTTTAAAAAATAGACTTGGCATTCATTAAATTCCTTTAAATATTTTGTCACGGGCAAATGATGATACCCTCTCAAGTCGAAAAAATGATGACTCTTAAAAACACAGATGACGTCAATGAAGGCTTCGTTCACAAAAACTGATTAGTCTTATTTGATACGTTTTTTCACGATATGCAGACAATGGTCAATTAACGGTAAGACAGGCAAAACGTGAATCGCCACTAAAATGTCCAGGTTTCGAACATAATTCTGTTACAGTAACGCTGATATCCTGTCCTTAAGTGCCGCATGCTAATTAGTAAATAAAAGAGGTGTGGAAGCAAACTATTTGTCAATGGGCGACATGGCACCTGTGCCATGTAAACTTACACGTTATGATAGGTAATTTTAGTAACGTGATGCCATGCGGTATCTATGACAGAGCAATATCAGTACAGTATACCTTAATCGTTTACATTGGTTAATTTCAACTCCAAATCACCTATTTTATCATTTTACATGACACCCGGTGACATGATCACACTTCCAAAACGTTCAGAAGAGCAATATGGCCTATTTGTCCGAGTTCTCATGCTCATAAATTCGTACCAATTGAGACGAAAGGTGAATGCCGATAGCACTCTTAGAATATGTGAACATGCAATCAATCAATTCGCCCATCTGTGAATACGTCAATAATCTATATGTAGAAACACTGATTAAGTTTACACAGATAGTATACGTTGTGTCAGTACAAAATACCTTGTATAATTCTAATAAGCTTGCTGAATAAATATGTCTGCCAAAGTGCCAATAAAGCGAAAGTGCCAGAGGGGAGTGCCTGAGGGAAAGTGTCACAAAACAGACTAGGCAAATACGAGTCTTATCTAAGAGAGCAACCAGTCATAGTCAAAACAAAACCCAAATATCTCAAACTATGAATGATCTAACGTATGAAACAATGTGTAACAATTTAAGAACATAACTCCCAAGTTTTTGATAGTGCATGACACTAGATTCTAGATTTTTGCACTTTAAAATGAGGGCCTATTGTAATCATGCCCACAGCCTTAACTATCCCATAGAATTCTTTCAATCACTAGGTAAAGAGGGACTCGGATAAATCAGAATAAAAATGAGGGGTTTAGAACTATCCAACATGTCCCCGTAGTTTCCTAGTAACAAATAACAAACATATAACAGTACTAGTGTAATGATGACACGAGAAAACCCAAGTATCGATTTGCTCTTTTGTTTATAATGATACTAAAATTCCAGCATTTAAACGGTCTTTGAAAAAGAAACTTATAACATCGAACAGTATTCTCTCCGGGATATAGTGTTTATTTGTTCGTTTTGAGATTTGATGGATCAATCCATACGGAGTGAATGCTTGAATCCATTACTTGATATTAGCCTCTTATTGTTTTCCGTAACAGTGGGTTGTTTTTTATTTAAACGATGTGTTTCTATTATAAACCTTCTAAGCTTGGCTCACAGATAACAAAGAATCTGTCTTGTAATAAACAAAGGCAAGTCTGTAATCTATAGATTCTACAATAGGGCGGAGAGGTTGAATGGTAGTTCAATGTCAATGTCACCCGACCCAGAGACTGTGCACTTATGCGTGTTTAAACAGTAAATATTGGAGACTTTAAGCATGCGATGTTTTTCACCACGTAATCCGTGAACGCAAAGTCAATGAATCAAGTAATGTGTAAACTGCGCATACAAAACACGCGCTACTTAGTCTACTTCAGATACCAAACGAGCTTCAGTTTCGTGTTTAGAACGGGAGATTTGCAATTTCACGTTGGTGTCAACGGGAATCATTATACCGATGTATATTGAATACTATGCTGACAATTTTGATTTCGATGCACAGTATAATGCTTTCTGAAGAACAATGATGTATGTCAAACATGTTTTAGCTCAAACTATCTTACAAAATGAGCGTGTTTAAAATATGTATCATAGAAAACCAATAATTTATACGTACTGGTTGACGTTTCGATTTTATATGCATTGCTTAAAGTCTCCAGTATCGGAACGTCGCAGGGGACACCGGTTTGGATTTGTGTAGCGCTGCATCTGAATATTACCACCATGTCATTTGTGTTTCTCTGACAGACTGTATGATTGTGACTTATAGCAGTATTAAATTGTTGCTTTGAATATAACAACTGTATATTTTCATTTACTCTAGTGCCTGTTAATCTTTCAAATTCAGAAACCCCTGGATACAACTTGTATAAATATGATTTGCCCACCCTGTAGAATACTAATATGCGTTTCATGTAATTTATGGACGTAAAGGACAAAGATCACACTTATCACAGTTGCGACTCTTCCAATTAGATAAACTGGTGTCAAAGAATATCAGAGCATGTTTAGATCTAAAACTAAAATGTACTAGTTACTTCTTTATATGCCATATGAAAATAGACGCCGACACGTTGAAGTGTTTATACGGCTTATAAACACATATTCCCCACCACGGTTACTTAACCCAGTTGTTTTTGTATGTTATGCAAACACACTTAGATACCCTTAAACGCAGGCATTTCGAATGTTATGCCAAGTGATAAGATTACAAATTCAATGATAGTTTTTATTCATGGTGTATTATGGATATTATACAAATTATGCAATAATGAGTGTAATGACTGATGGGCTGCTTTTAAAAACAGACCGAGATTTCATACAGCAGGGTATACTAAGAGGATTCGTTCCACGTCCTTGAATATAGAATACATGTGTGTATGTATGTATGTATTTATTTATTAAAAATAAATACATATATACATGATACATCAAACAATACTTTATGATAAAATTGCTGCTTGATACTTGCTCGTCATCTTGGATTTCCAAGGTATGATGTTGCTCGTTGCATAAAGACATACCTTCATTTATTCTGGTCTCTACAGTTGTCGTAAAATACCGAACGTGCGATAATGTATACTATGTGAGAAATACCAGTGTTCTTGTCATGAACCATTATACGAATCAAAATAAGTAAAAACGAATCAAAAGCCCCTGGGAACTCTGGAAAAGGTAGAAATTAAGCTAAACGGACAGCGAGCGAAGGATAGACACTTTTGTATTTATTTCTTAAAGGCAGAATCTGATCTATAGGGGTGACAAAATTATAAGCAATATGTATAATTAACCTACCAATCTATATATTCCTTACAATATCAAATACAATATTTCCCAAAAGATTCGCAACATGTTATAAATTGGTGAAGTTATTAATGATTCAAAGTGCAAAATTGAGTGAAAAATGTTTAAATTCTCCCAAATAATAAGAATGGTAACCATTCTTATAGAAAAATAATACATTATTGTAAAATTCTTTAGTTTTCCTGGAATAAAGTATGCACTTTTGTGATTTTTAGAAAATAGACATGAAAAGGAATGAAATGAGCCAAAAATAGTCTAAAATTGAAACAATTTTTGTTTAGCCTGCTCTCTATATCTGATTCTCTCCTTAATTCCATGGAAGTTGGTTTTTATAGAAAATATGCTTTATATTTCATGGCAATTGTTTTATCTTTAGGATAACTAACAAAACTCTGACAACTAAACGTCCCCATTTTCTAATAGCCCAATTCTAATTATTTTTTCTATTTTCCATATCTTATCAATCTTTGAAAATGTACTACAGTTATCGAATAAGTTCCACACACTGTAATGTAAGGGACGCATTGGCATTTTAATTGAATCGACTGTTTTGGACATCTTACACACTGTATCTTTCGCTGCCACTTTAAGTATTTGAGAATATCATGTATCAAAATATTGTGAATTGAACTTAGATAAAACTCTTGAATACCAGGAGGTTCTTGTAATTTTGCGGTTATTTGGAAAAAATACTGAAAGAGAGGACATGCAGATGTCAATCTTCTACGCGTATCTTTAATTTTCATATTTGAGATCTCTTGATATATGTCTTCTTTTGGATACAATACATTACAATACAATACAATACAATGCCAAACAATAAGGTATTTCGAACCTTTTAACATCTCTCTAGATATCGTTTGTTGCTTCCTAAATCGTATAGACAATGCAATGATGCCCATATGTAATAACACGTTTAGGATTATTTTCGCGTTGTTTGTAAACATCTTTTAGTTTAGTTTTATACAAAACTGTAAACACATGTAAACAATTAGGCTAAATGATTTCCTTTACGGAAAATAACACTAACATATGTTTTCCAATTTCCAGCGTAAGTAAAAACAGATACATCAGGTCTTACCTAACTTTCTTTGATTGTTCCTTAAGTTGAAGACAACGGATATTCCATCAAGGTTTATATGACGTGGATCCTCCTTAATTCGTAGTGAAGCTTTCACCAATTTGGTTCTGGAAATAAATAAACCAGAAACTCCTTACATTGCTCTATTGTTAATTCTCGTTTCCACTCATCAGTTGTTTCTAGCATTCCAATATCACCTCCAGGGTTCTACTGTCGCATTACTATTGTGGACAATAGCAAGGTGGAATCGTATATATTGATTTAATGTGTTATGCTGTAACTGTCTTTGAGTTGATCAAATCATCAGTGTGTTATTTCCGCAATTGCCGTAAGCTAGAACGACGGTTAATGCGAAGAAAGCAGATTGTTAATGTGCATTATTACCACCTTGCCGGGCCATTTCTAGGGGCCTTGGGCCTTCGGCCCTCGGTCCAATATTTCACTTGGGCCTTCGACCCTCGGTTTAATATTTCACGATGTTGCCCTTCGAAATGACGTTATTGTATTATAAATGCAGCTTCCAACTTTTCAAATTCAATCTTTGAGGCAGTGTAATAATAAAGTAGATCATCCTTAAATTATATATCTGATTATCCAATGTACTCATTACCTGAGGAAGTGCGCTTATCCTTCATTTAAGGTATTTTAGAAACAGATTTAGAGGACCACTTTAACTTTATGGAATCAAATATGACTGTCGGCACAGTGTTCACGTCACGTTATGATTTTTCAATGGATTTTAGAAATGTTGGCCTCTGGGCATTTTCTTCATAGATCTATTGCTACCAACAATTAATTCCAAACTCACCGTCACGTACCTTCCGTTGTCTACACAATTAAGCGGATATCGAATGACTAGGCAGGACTGAAATACCATAAAATGGCCATCAGCATTTACTAGAATATGATGGTTAATCCCTAAAGAAGTAATCCAACATCTTCACCGTAGTGAGATCACATAAAACAAGCACAATGCATCGAATGGCTGCACTGCATTAAATAATGTGGACATTTTTAACGAACACTTGTTTCAATTTTAGAATAGGCGGATATGCATATTACGTGTACATGTAGGTCTGAACCATTACTTGTCACGTCTTTTTATAAAAAATCCCCAAAGCTAGCACTGTATATTCTACTAAATATTTCGACAGGTATTGTATAAACTTATTATAATATTATTGCATAATACTTGGAATTACCTCTTGTATGTGTTGACTGAAACACTAGCATTGCATACTCTACGGAAAACTTTGAGAAGTATTATTCAAATCAGTTATAAATGTATTGCATACGAATTGGAAGTACCTCTTGTATGTGTAGACTGAAATACTAGCATTGAATACTATATTGAATACTTTGAAAAGTATTGCATAAATTCATCATAATGGTATTGCATACTACTTGAAATTATATCTGAAGCAATTGCACCGCATACTCTACCGAATCATGACATACCATTGTGGCACAATTTTCTTGCTGTATGTGCTAACGAGTATATTCCAGCACTGCATTTTCTCAGTGCATAAATGTGGAGAGTTATTGCAGACATATTGTCATTGTGCTTTTATGCAGGTATAATCAGATAGTAGTATGTACAACTCGGGTATACTATCATCGCATATCATTGTGACAGTATTTCCCATTTTTTGTAATGCACACTTGTCATTGGGATTGCATAAAAAATTATTATATGTTTTGAGAAAGATCACATAAATACTGACAACAAAGGTGAAATATCATATGTAAAACTTGGGTAGGAAAGCACTGTAAACCTTTGTGGCATTATTTTTGTTATTGTTTTTGTTGTTCTTGTTTGTATAAATGTTGTAAATATTATTGTCCACCGTTGTGGCAGTATCTCGTGCTGGTTTTTGACATTGCATATACTGTGGTATGATGTTTTGAATGTAAACAAGTACTGCATATTTGGTTTCGGATGCAAATTCGTTTTTTTTTTGTAAATATCCTTCTCTTTCTGTATATAGCATTTATTGTTTACATATACTTTATAGGTATATTACAATTCGATAGGTTGAGCCGCCAAACGCGGTTTTTAAGAGGACCGCGACGGGCCTAGCTTTTTTCGTCTTGAAAACGCGTAATAAGGGAAATGGGGAATCTTAAGGGGGTTTATAAAAAATTCTGGTTAAAACAGCTACTTACGAAGTGCAGCCTTTGTGAACATGGGTAAGACAAAGATAAGCAGTCTAAATTGTCAAGGCTTGAATGATCAAAAGAAAAGAGCCGACGTTTTTGATTACTTAAAGAAGAAAAAATTCGATATCGTTTGCTTACAAGATATTCATACAACAAATGAATCTGCTAAAAACTTCGAACAAGATTGGGGCGGTGAGGCTTATATCAGTTCGTGCAGAAGTAATAGTCGTGGGGTCGGTATTTTCTTTGGGCAAAATTTTGACTACAAAGTTTATGATTCCAAAATCGATAAGGATGGTAACTTTGTGATTTTAGACATCCAAGTTGAAGATAGAAGATTCACCTTAGCTTCTATTTATGGACCAAATACAGACACCCCTACATTTTTCACAGACCTTAAAACAAAATTGGAACATTTTGAAAATGCATCTTTGTTAATTACTGGTGATTGGAATTTAGTAATGGATCAAGAGCTAGATACATTTAAATATAAACATATAAACAATCCAAACTCTAAAAAGAAAGTGAAAGAATTATGCAATCATTTCGATTTATTTGATATTTGGCGGGAACTTCACCCAGAAGAAAAAAAATTCACATGGTTCAGACGAAAGCCGCGCCAAATGGCAAGACTAGATTTTATGTTGTGCTCTGATGATTTCATCAACTTGACAATAAACTGTAATATTTTACCTGGATACAGATCAGATCATGATATATTAACATTGTCTCTCGAAAACGGAATTCCAGAAAGAGGTCGAGGATTTTGGAAATTTAATGTCTCGCTCCTTAAAGATCCAGCCTACATTATCATTGTTAAAGACTCTATTGAGAGAATTAAAGAACAGTACGCGCTAGCTGACGACATCGCTGAAGATTATACTGAAATTGATATCGCGGTTAATAATCAACTTATGTTCGAAATGTTAAAACTAGAAATAAGAGGTCAGACAATAAAATACTCAACGCGGAAAAAGAAACTTCGAGAAAAGATCCAACGCGATCTAGAGTTAAAAGCCGAGTCTATTGAAGCGGATATTCAAAATACTTTAAACTCAAACGAAGAAATTTCAATTAGCAACGACCTTATTGAATCTAAATATCAAGACCTGGAAAACATTAAATCTGAAATGAAAGAATACAGAGAAAATCAAATCAAAGGTCTAATGACACGGGCCAATCTTGATTGGTACGAACATGGTGAGAGAGCCACAGAATATTTCAGCGCACTTGAAAAGAGAAATTATGTTAATAAGGTAATATGTCAAATAGAAACTGACGGTCAACTTATTTCAGATCCAAAACTCGTGCTAGAAGCTCAAAGGGCATACTATGAAGATTTATACTCGAGCAAAATTGAAAGCAATGACGAAAATTATGATGTTTTTCTCTCTGACAACGCTCTCGGGTCTTTAAAAGACGAGGAGAAACAATTTTGTGAAGGTAAGTTGAACGAACAAGAGCTAAAAGAATCCTTAAAAAATAGTAAAAATGGAAAATCACCCGGCTCCGATGGTTTTAGCGTGGAATTTTACAAGTTTTTCTATAGAGATTTGGGGCAGTTTTTATTGAACTCGCTGAATGCAGCTTTTGTTTTGGGTGAACTCTCTATAACACAGAAACAAGGTATTATTACATGTATTCCAAAAGGGAACAAATTGAGAAAATTATTAAAAAATTGGAGGCCAATTACTTTACTTAACTCTGATTATAAGCTTCTTAGTGCCTCACTTGCAACCAGAATGAAAAATGTTCTGCCACAAATTATCTCTCTTGAACAAAAAGCATATCTGCCTGGTAGAGAGATGGCGGAGAACACCCGCCTTGTATTTGATATAATGGATCATTTAAATAGAAAGCAACAAGCTGGTTTAATATTATTAGCAGATTTCGAGAAAGCTTTTGATAGTATTGAGTGGTCTTACCTTGATAAATGTTTGAAAAGATTCAATTTTGGCGAAAGTTTTATACGATGGTATCATGTTCTTTATAATCGATCCGAAAGTTGCGTCATAAACAACGGCCATTTTTCTACTTTTTTTCAATTAAAACGAGGCTGCCGGCAGGGGGACTCCTTGTCGTGCTACTTATTTATACTAGCTCTAGAACCTCTCTGCATGAAAATTAAGAATGATAATAGTGTAAAAGGTGTCCAAATCTTTGACAAAACAATAAAAACGGGTATGTACGCAGATGACACCTTTGTGATCCTTGACGGAACACCTCCATCCTTGAGAACATGTATTGACATTTTTCAAAAATTCCATTGTGCGTCTGGCTTAAAATTGAACGTTGATAAAACCTCAGCTATTTGGATTGGAAGCAAAGCAAATTCAGATGAGAGATTATGTAAAGATATTTCTTTGAAATGGGAAACGCAATTTAAACTATTAGGTTTGCAACTGCCTTCCGACCTACGAAATGTAGAAACGCTGAACCTCGAATCGAAATTGACAGAAATGCAAAGTGTAATTAGCAAATATAAACGACGGAATCTATCTCTACTTGGGAAAATAACGGTTTTAAAGTCTTTTGTTTTACCAAAAATAGTTCATTTGATGCTGGTTTTACCCAGTATATCGGGTGAGTTCCATAAACGAATTAAAAACCTTTTTACTACATTTATTTGGAATTCCCCAGTCTCTAAGGTAAGTTTTTCTCAATTGGTCAAAGACTACAAAGACGGGGGTTTAAGAATGATCGATCCACAACTATTTGAAAACTCATTAAAACTAACATGGTTGCAAAAATTACTTAGAAATGGCACCTGGCAAGATATTGCCATAAAAACTTTAGGGCTGGAATCAGGTAAGGAGCTATTTACATACGACACGAAATCATTACAAAGAATTGAATGTAGCGTTTCAAATACGTTTTGGAGAAGTTTTACTCGTGCCTTTCAACATTACACCCAAATT